ATTTTCTACTGAAACATATGGTGAAAAATGTAGTTAAATATTCACAGGTGGTTCAAATATTTTATTTTCGCATCCTTTCGCGATAAGGAAACATTATTGTGAACAGAGACCGTCGATGCATCCCCGTGGACATGCTGAACATACCGCGCCTATGTTGTACACGCGTTCGTCCACGTTGTTGCCACTGAAATTTTGAATTTGAAACCTTGTTGAGTGGGGGGGGGTGGGGGGGGGGGGGATTGTTGCCCAACCCCTCACCCGGCCTGGGCGATGACATGCAGATAACGAACGGCAACCGTTGCAGCTTCGAACGGCACAGCCAACCTCGACGTTGTTCCACCACGCCATCTATTGTAAAATGAGCATTAGGTTGTTAGCGATACCTACTTGTGTACAATTTTCAGATTATGACTGTTGTTGCAGCATAAATCAAATGATACAGTTAAGTGTAAACGGATAATAGAATTATCTTCTGACCATCTGGCATTGGTCAGTAACAAGCAGAGTCAACCCTGCGTTGCGCAGTTCTCAACGGCCACGTTGCGCAGTTTCGCCCGATTAGACACGTTCTCTCGCGCGAACATTCACACTCGCATGCTCGAGCCGTCTGCGTCTCCGCCCATACAGCGTGCGTTGAGGATCTCTCAACGTGCCGTTGCGAACTGCGCAACGCAGGGTTGACTCTGTAACAAGCGGGTCTACTACTATTCTCCATTTTTCGGAAACCTAATTTCGGTTCCAAACTGTCAAGGTCAATCCTTTCCATCCTTGTGAGTCCAAGTCCATCTTTCCAGCGCTTTCGAAGTCGAATTGTGAATAATACCATACTTGTCCGGAGATACATAAATACGCTAATCTATGGTGCAAAATGTGTCCTCTCAAAGTAATGTATTCAAATGCCATCGCAATTTCTAATGGAAAAAATTGTGTGTGGTATCTCCCAACGAGAATATTCATTAGCTTTCCCTTCACCTTACATCCCACATTCTGTTGTTTTTGTTTTTCTTTCGCGGCAGCATTTCTTAAAGCAACAACCCCAGATTAAACTGGTGGGGTAACAGCGGTCGATTATGAAATTGCGGATGCCAAACTGACTGTAAATAAAAAAAACCAGACAAACTAACAGCTAACTAACTAACAAACCAACAGTATTCCCTCTCGTTCGCCTTGAGGGGCGGGGCCGGACGAGTTGTACGAGTTTGCTCGCTCCACGGCTCCGCTACAACGCGCGTATTTGAATTAGCCGCTACGCCGTAATCCAGGTTGCGTGGGGTGGGGTGTGCACGAGGTATCTCGTCCGTAAGTTCACATTATTCGCCACCAGATCACTTGTGTAAGGTCCTAGCGCCATCATCGCGCAAATTCAAGCCACGAGAACGGCACATAGGCATGGGTTACTTTATTCCACCCACAGAATAGATTCATCGACAGGACCTCATCTAGGCTGTTGCTTCGGTGCTTTGAGAAAAACCCTTGGCTTCATTTGCTTCAATCCTCTGCCTACCCCTCCCGCCCACCAGCTTTCTTTGGAAATTCACTTTTGTCAAAACAAGGACATTTCCATCTATAGCGTTACTATTCTACTATCGTCTTACTTCATTTTTGCATCACACAAAGAACACCTACTTCTTCGACTGTTTTGCAACTTCCTTCCTTCCTTCAAGTAACTAATTTAGCAAACATTTTCCTATGTAATGTATTTAGCTCACCTTTGCCCATTTCGTCACTCTTCGTGTTTCTCGATGGCGAACATTGTACGTGAACAGCATGTCCGTTCTCATCCCGTTTCTCGCTAATTGACTCCACCAATTGTTTGTGGCCTTAATGATTCATCTTATGAGTTGCTGTTCATTCATTATTCCTCGCAAGTTGAGAGGTTTTTGGTTGGAAAGCTTGACAAACCCTCCTCGGCTCTGTTGTCGAACCCCAGCTACTGCTCTCAAAAAAGTTTTAGTTCAAGGTTGATGATCGCATTCAGTTCGAGTCCGCTGCATCTCAAAGTTGGTGCGGAGAACCAGGAGAAACGACACAAACCCATGAATCGTTCCTTCGTGTTTGATTTTGGGTGAGCGACAAGCTTCCGCTATAGCCGCTATCTGCGGGAACGCCCTGCTCTGGCTCTCCGTCGCAGGACCCAGAACCAGACCGACAAAGGCCAGGTGCCGCATACAGCAGGCGGAACAAGAACGGAGACGGAACGGAGTTGTTGTAACCAGTGCCTTTAAGTCTTTTCCTCGCTACCGATCTTTGCTCAAATGTAATTGTTGCTTTGCAGTTGTATTGTCCAGCTGTTGTCTGTAGGGCGAAAATGTCTGCTCGAGGTCTCATGCAGATGTGGTCTGTACTAACGGGCTGCAATATGGGTCGGTATTGCACGTATCGGCGATGAGTACTGAACCACGTCAGGTAGAGATTGGTAGAGTTGGCGTACCAAAAGAGGCAATGCTCATAAAACCGTCTAGAGTACCACATTTTCAGAGATTTAGTGTAGATCAAATTAGGATCGGGTTAGAAAGCCAAATCAATGCAGGAGTCCGCGTCAAGACACGGCGAAAATCAGTCGAATATTCGTCGACGGTCCGTCGAGGATTTTCGACTGTTCAGTCATGCTCTCTCGCGCCTACATTCACTCTCGACACAGTTCTCACACAGTATAGAATCATGGTCGAGGATTGATAAACTCACAGCTTCAGCAGCATCTGCTTGACTTCCACCTCCTTGGAAACTGTAGATGTTCTCCTTGTATCCTGGACGTGCATCGGGTGGCTGCACCTTTTGATCACAAGTGTTGGCATGTTGTTGAGCGTACGATTCAGCGTCGCAGCTATATCTCTGCAAAATTTTGCGTTGGCATAGGCATAGTTTATCTCCTAAAGGAAACCACAGAAAAGTGCCCCTCTAGATGGGCCATGCATTTTAATCTCATATGGAATGGTGGGACTATATGGAAAACAGATTTTTAAGGTGGAAATGGAATCTGATTTTTGGATCATGCTTGCGGTCTTGGCGCCACTGCCCCATCCGTACTTAAAGGCAAGGATTCAAGGCAAGCTCGGTCGATGTTGGTTATTATGTTGATCAAACTGAGTGCCGAGAGGTAAATGGAACGACAGTAAAGAAAAACAATAAAGAAACGGTAACAGCAGCAAAACAGCAGCAAAGAGGCAGACTTAGCGAAGGTTGATCGACGACTTTGGGACTGCTAGCCGTTACGGCTATCTGACCTTTGCTTTAAAACAATTGGCAAAATTTTAAGGCAAAGGTAATTTAAAAAATTGTCCAAATGATTTCATGTCTGATTATATACCAACCAGTTTAGCTCCGCACGCAACCGCGCGCATCAAATGACGGGCTTCAGTGAAACTGGACAACTTCCAGAATGTTAGGTCACGTAACAGAGAAACTAACAGTAAAATGTTTTGGAAGATGTGTCCCATGAAGTTCAAAGGTTCGTCCAATTTCGCTGGAGGTTGTCGCGTAATGCGCGCAGTAGCATGCGGAATGAAATGTACTTATCATGACTTCGTAAACATTTAGCATTGATATCGAGCTCGGGCGATTTAGCGGTTTATAGAATTTCCACAATTGAAGAATCGGTGTGTAAGTGAAATATAAGCAATCAATCAGCATCTACCGAGCTATGATGGAAATTGGAAATATGATTTTATTCGCTATTAGTCCAGGTCCGGATAGTTGAGCAGCTCAACTTTCTTTGCTTCTTTGGATGAAAGGATAGGAATGGAACATATTCACTTGCTAGGGGCCTGGTTTAGTTTGACTGAGTGCACGCTCAATTTCGCTACTTTTATCAGTACAGTTGCCGCTCATACCACTTTCTGTCACCCACATTCAATCCTCGCCACCTTGTTCCCGTCCCATTCCTTACACCACATGTGAAAGCCAAGGTTTCAATGTCACCGCGAGGGCCAGCAACGAAACTGGTGGTATCCATACTTTTACGCCCCTTATCAGTTCTTATCAGTTGCTACCACATTCGTTCACTCAACTTCTTGGTCCCCGCCTCACCCCACATATCATATATGAGTGCAAACTCTCCACCATCAACGCGAACGGTGTAACGAAATTGGTGACATCAACATTTCGACGTCCGTTATCAGCTTCTATCAGTAGTTATCACTTCCCGCCACCCACTATCAGTGTTCACGCCCGGCCCCTACATATCCTAGAAGTTTGAGCGCTCTTGGTCCAAAGGGAGCGAAGTTATGAATTTCCGGTCAGACACACACACACACACACACACACACAACCGCTTAGCCGATTATATATAGTAGGATCCTAAGGAAGAACCTTGAAGAATCAAGCCATTCATGCATGATGGAAACGTTTTCAGAAATCCCAACAGGATGGCTCCTTCTCTTCGAACTTTGTTTCCCGGAAATTTTTTCAAACTCTTACCATGCGGTACATGTTTGTCGCTGGTGGTGCGATGCCAAAATTTCCATTTTGTTCAGTCTGTCCTCTGGCTAAGCTACCCCTGGAATATAAAGTGATCACGAGTGTAGTCGTTTAACTTCGTATAATGTATGCTATACGAATGTGTTTCCATTGATGTGAGGCATTCATATGGGTTTTACGAATTTACGCTGGATTACGTATGCTTTTCGAAGAATCTCTGCCGTACTTGCTGATCAAGTTGGGTGTTGCCACAGTACGCTCCTGAAAGAGTAGCGTAGCCGGAATGACGTCTACAACCACGTTGGAGGCTAACGCCGATAGTGTTTATTTATTTATTTGCTTACTTACAAATCACGCTATAGCTATGCTAATTTATTAGCTTGTTTAAGTTACCTGCAGTGGTAGTAGTGGTAGTAGTGGTCGTCGTAGATGTAGTGCTAGATGTAGCTGTCGAAGAAGTAGAAGCAGTAGAAGCAGTGGATGTTGCTGTAATTGTGCAATCTGCTGTCGGTTAGTTCCCCGTTAGCTAGTGTGGTCATCACGTTATCGCTATTTTGGGCATTAAAAGGAAAATTCAGCAAATCCACCCCGCAATCAGTCACGAATTTTATATTGAATTGAAGGAGGACTCCAGATAAGGGGAGAAGTCGGAGAAAAAGAAAAAATGTACCTAGCCAAAGGGTGAACGGGTCCCCTAAGGGTGCGGAATGGCCAGTATGCCCCCACCTGCCAAGCAGGGCCATACTCGCGCCCCTATCGCCGCAGCCGCACGCCTCGTCGTTTTGGACTCTGCCGTTAGAGAGAGGAGGCAGAGAGAGCATCAACCTTGAAGAGGACACCATCGATTACAGCGACATCAATTTCAAGACAGGAGTCAATGACTAAGAAGGGGTTCCATTCCTCGAGTTCTGGGCAGTTTCTCATGATTCTTCTCCATCCTAGCTCACCTGACCAAAAATCTACCTAGTTTCTAGGCACCTTCGAAGTAAATTCCACTCTCGATCGTCAATGAACCTTTAGTGTGTGACTCCGCCTGTACATCATTACCTAAGGAATTCGGATAATTGTATAGCCCAGCTTTTAGTCTTCACCCTTATCTGGACAGGTGTGATCTAGCTGGCCGAACCTGGGGATTGAGGGGCGGCAGACCTTGGCGAGATTTGCATTTGATCCCAAATGTCGTGAGCGATGGTCGATGAGCAATTTCCAGTCAGCTACTCGCCGCGTCTCTAGGTTTATCTCTGTATTTCCCAAATCCAGTAATTCATATTTTGGATAGCATAAAAAAACGGAAGATAACTTAACTTTGACGCAGATGTTCGAAAAGCCGAGACGGGGATCCTAACGAAGATTAAGGTGGCAGAGGAATTTATCGTGATGTCTGGGCGTTAGAAAAGTAAGAAGACGTACGTTAGTTAGGTCCGTCCAGCGGAAGGATTACGTTGCGTATAACACCATATTTGTTTGCCGGGTTTTATACCTATCGTTTTGTTATGAGGTGGATGTCATGACGGCATAGGACCATGTGCTCAGACATACAATAACATGTATGCATACCAGTGATATTACCATAACCAATGGGGTGAATATTGCTGCTACCAGTTCGCTAGTACTTCAAACTGATCTCTGAGGATTGCTGCAAAATTTAAATAAATAGGATTGACAGCGGCCAAAAACTGATAAACGGAAAACGCGTCCTGAATTCGCATTATGATGCATGTTGCGAAGTTTCAGTTTCTAGGCACTGACATACCACGTGTTGGGGGAGTTGGGACTGGTCCTGTGAATCAAAATTGGACGCGCTGATAATTGGGTGGTCCTCAGGCGACGGACACGCTCGAAAGGTTCCGAAACGTTTCACATAGTCGGCTGCTGAGCAGTTGAGTTCAATTAATAAATAGCCAGGCGATGAATGTACAACCTTGACCAGAACCAACTACTTCCAAAAGCTTCACGAAAATATTGCTCTGCTGTGGCTGTATTTAATCGAGATTTGCAAGGATAAAGCATTTGCCGTTGATCAATCCCTTTTTGGGATGCGGCACGCATTCTACTTCCATTTGTACATTCGTAGTGGCATTTGAATGCGATGTGGCCTATACGACTTGCGGGGGCCAGCCGATGTACAAGTCAGTGTTTTTATCCTCCCAGACAAGTCTGGTACCAATTAACCGACCCCGGAGGGATGGGGAAGGCTTTCGTTGGCCGGACGACGCCACGGACGCAGGATTGCAATCCCCGAACGCGCAGCGGTAAGCAGCGGACATTCGTGTCAAACTAACCATTCCGCCTCGATGTGCGCATCAAAAAGCAACCGAGTGATGATGCCTTTCAACCAATTAATCTGGTAGGCTTCCTGCAGTTATACGTCGAGCTGACACATGTGCGTTTGTGGGTTTTGAGGAAATGAACAAAGGGTGGTCTTTGCTTCTTTCAACAACGACAGCAAACAAAGAGGATGTTTGGTTCTCCTCACAGATGTTTTAACATTACTTCGTTTAAGGTTGGTACAGTGTCGCTGGGATAGCTTTTTCAAGCCATAGATTGCCATTCTCAGAACGAATTAGTCCAAAATGACTAAGACTTCTCCACTGATGCGTTAAAGGCGCTTGAAGGGCACAACCCATCGCAACAGGGCTGCGTGAACGCTTCCTTTGCGTTTATGCTCAGTTATACTGTAAGGACAATTACAAATGTTTCGTTCCCCTGGCGACCAACGCAGAAGCGCGGGGGTCATGAAATCAAGCTGCTGAAGCTGCGCTAATTTTTCTCTGGTGTGGTGAGGGCAAATGTCTGGCGCTCTTCCATCGGTTGTAGCTCTCTGCCTATACTTGTCTCTCTCCGCGCTTAGTCTCTCATTCCCCTAGCACAGCCGATTAGGAAGGTGAATGAGACCTTAAAACCTGAGCATTTTCGAGGGATTCGTTTCCTTTTTCTTTGCTGCCGGCCCATTTCGCACCAAAACATTCACATTCGTGAGCAAGAGCACTCGAGGGGGTCCTGGGGCATGCCTTCAATAGGTAGCATACTCGTTTAGGACGGAGAACAACGCATAAATTAATAACTCCTTCTATGCCGCTATCTGGATTAGCCGCTCCCCCTAATCCACTCTGCATGTCATGGGGCATGCACGAGGTATCTCGTCTACAAGTTCATCTACATATCCCTTTGCAAGCACCTAAGGCGTATGCATAGTCAGTCGTACGATGCCTAAGGAATGCGTTGGCGTACGATCCTAAGGATCGTAACTGTCGTGCAGCGTTAAATACGAATCAATCGTCGAATACTCAGGTGAGTGTGACAATTCGATCGTTAGGATCGGACGATCCATTGCGCCGCTAGCGCACTGCTAGCGCATTTTCGACCGAAAGATGGGGAGGAAGGTTAATGGTGGAAGTTGATGAATCGGAGTACGGGTGTAGGTGGAAGGCTCGAATTGGAACCACAAAGTATCGTCGAAATCATAGGTTTATTCGGAATGAAGCAGATGCATACTTGAATCAAGAAGTGTTATCAAAAGTCGAATGACTTATTATTCATCGCTTCAGATAAGTAAGTAACCTCCCAAAACAAGGCTTCAGAAAAATCGTTCAAATTTATGGAAGTCCTGAAAAAAGACAGGAATGATTCAATCAATAAAATAAGGAAGGACCTGAGCGGTCGACCGCTCATCTGTGATGCGGACTACAGGAATACGGATTTGGCCTGTTTGAAAGGAGTACGAATGAATGTGTTTGAAATGACATCATAGCAAATATTCATACAAGAACCGAGTATGTTGACAGCAAAATGCAAATCCTACAGGCAGCAGCGCTACTAGTTCCAGATGAACTATATGGTAATAAGGCATTTACACCAAAACAAAATGGATGCTATAAAAGGAAGCCACAGGATGCAGCAAATCAGACGTCATGGCTCCCTCCGGGATAGTCCTCCTCTTTGTAAGTACTCTTTTTGTATAGATAAATGCTCTATCGCAGTTTTACTCAATTTCCTCGCAACGCTCCTATTTTCCTTTTCAGGCGATCTTCGCCTTCTCGTACTTCGGAGGCATCGGGGGCCAAGGTGAGTCTTTTCCAAAGCTGAAAGGAAGGCGGTCACAAATATCAGTATTATAATAATAAAGCGATCCAAGAACACTCAATCTGCTCTACAGGAAATGGCACAACCACAGGAGGAGGAAATGGAACAGCAACGAATGGGACTTCCGGGAATGGCACATCTTCAGGAAATGGCACCTCAAATGGCACTACAGGAGGAAACCGTACGGCGAATGCCACCACACCGGCTCCAACTACTCTTCCTCCTCCCACACCCGTACCACCAGTCAACACCACCGCTGCTCCTAATGCTTCTCAAGGTAAAGCTCCTTCTGCTGCTCCATTAAATGACATTCAATACCTAAAACTATCCAAAATGCATTTCAGTGGTGAACTGTGACAGCGCGCAGCTGCCGGTAACAATAAGGCAAAGATTCCTCGACCAAGCACAACTTGCGCAGGTGAGCTTTTGCAGCCCGCTCCTGGAGCAATTCTTTCCTAGGAATTCTGGCGAATACAAATAAGATTTTTGTATTTTTCAGAGGCAGCTTGGCGAGAGGACAGAGTGAAGCCAATGGAAGTGGTGGACTTGCCCCTCCAGCATCTAACATGTACCGCATGGTAAAATTTCTTATTTTTGAAAGGAATTAGCTGCGCAGGACTGGAACTGGATGAAACCTGAAAAGTTTTTGTGATAAGGTCCACTAGGGGCCGTACATTTGCGGTTGTTCACTTCGACCCTTAAGGGCAGTGAGCACGATAATTGGGATGGACTGCACGAATGTTTATGTGCTAGTGAAAACGGTAGCCTGTCGGCTAGGCGAACGACATGTAACATTTGCATGGCGAAATGCGCATAAGCCTCGACGTAGGTGAGCTTGAGACCTAAACACAGCCCGCCCACATTTGGCCCCGCCCCCTTGTGGAACTGCTGATATTTGCGCCGTCACCGTCATCTCTTACCTATCATCCCAAGAGCGCATTCCGTTCCTAACCGTCCCATACTGTGACTTTATCGTGATGTGTCCTTTTACCATGATATCCTCACCCAAACGGCCAGTGTCCTAAATCGAAAACTCGTCCAGAGTCACGGGTGGATGAGGGACTCAGTTTCCCTTACTTTTTGATAGATTCCCTTGATTTCTTTTCACTCACTGCCGCGCTCCATCTCCATCTCCTCTACTGTCACAACTGGGTCAACCCAAATTATGGTAATCGGTGCCTTTAAGTCAAAATAATCTAGGTCCGCTACAAAAAGTCAAATTCTGTTTGTCAGGAACACTACCTTATTTTCGCTTTTGTGACGTCTTTTCAGCATATGTA